TACAATACAGGCATTAAAAGACATGAGACTGCAGTGGAGGTTCATCCTCCTGCAGGATGGAGGCATCAGACATACAACCAGTGCTATGATTACGCATAGAGAAAGTACGGTGGTCTCTCAGATAGATAACATGTCAAATGTTTGGTTTGTAGCCTGACTAGATGTCAACAAGCAGGCACATGGATATTTCAACAAAGCATTGAAGTATAAAAATATCTAAAGGATTTTCTTTTCTGTTTCTCAGAGGCCCGTGCTTGTGCGGCCGTGTTTGACTGCAAATTCATCGAGACCTCCGCAGCCATGCAGCACAACGTCTGGGAGGCTTTTTACGGCATCGTGAGGCAGCTGCGCTTGCGACGAGACTCCAAAGAGGACAACAGACGTCGCAGGCACATACACAGTGACAAACGCAGAGACAGCCTTCCCGTTAGGGCCAAGCGTTTCCTGGACAAAGTGGTGGCGAAAAACAATCCCAACATGGCGTTCTGGCTTAAATCCAAATCCTGTCACAATCTGTCAGTGCTTTAGAACACACTGAATGCGGGTGGAAACACCTGAGAAGGTTAAACAGGTTAAAGGTTGGAGGTAAATAGCTGTGGACAAAGCTGGACAGACCTTCACTGCCTCTGAGGAGCCATGAGTTGGATGTTTCGCCATCCACCCCCCATCAGCAAAGGTGGTGGTGCAGGTGTGCAGCATACCTACCTATATGTGCTGTCATCAAACTGAGTGGACTGTATCAGTTGGACATGTCATAAATCATGGGACAGATCTATGGTATCTGATGCATTTAATGGAAAAAAAAAAAAAAGCTGTGATCTTTTCCTTCTGTTTTCTTTAAACTTTTTTCTCTTCATATTTTTTTTCCATATTTTGCCAAATCCTAAATCACCTGCCCCCCATTTTTCTTCATATATCATTTTGAAGGCCTCTGTAATAATTACACATTTTGTTTTTTCTTGCTGATGCAGTGTTTGATGCAGTAAGTGTAAAAAGATTGAACACGTGTTGCATTTTGCTATTTTGCAATTGTTTGAAGAAATAAAGAGAGGTCTTTTGTTTGTAAGAAAGTCCTCTTTTGTGTGTCTTTTCATCATTAGTGATGAGAAATTGAAATGGATGACTCATCCTTGGCTCACAAAGGATGCACACTAGTTGGTTTTAACAGCAACACAACTGAGATGAAAAAGGATGAGTCAGGTGGTGACTGTAAGGCTGAGAAACAGAATTAGCCCCTCAGTCTCTGTGTCATTTTAAAGGGTGAAGATGACAATGGATCGGCCAGGAGCCACACTCAACTTTAAGCTCAGATTCTACACCTCAAACTTCTCTAAAAGGGGGAAACTGCTGATAGAATATATTGCTGAGATGGCATTCATTGTGTTTGTGCCATCTGTATGATGATTTAAGGAAAGCAGGCAGGTGGCTTTTGGTAGGTTCGCGTTTGTCATTTACATAACAGTCACTTCATCATGTCTTCATCTGCTGAACATTCACTGCAGTTAGAGAGCAGGACAATCAAACAGACTCAATAACAGCCTTCCTTTTTGTTGATTTGCACCCTTTTCTCAGCCTTACCTGCAAAGCTCTTGGCTCATTTAGCTCATGCATCAGGGTGCATGCAGCGTAACGAAGCTGCAGGTAAAATTCTGAATGGATTGAACGAATTAATCACTCTAATTGGCAGAATTTGTCCAGTTTATTTATATGTGATGTTTTATTATGGAACCAGTCCGATCCTTTTAGTTAGAGTTAATGGTATAGTGGATGATTTTTGCAAATTTTTTAAAAAGACACACCATCTTAAAAAAGATGCACATGCACAGCCCTGTACCCACTCCCAAGAGGGAGTGCCTATTAAAGGATTGCGAGAGCATGCATAAGCCCATTTCTCCTTGTGCACTCTCTGCTTAAAAGTTGCTGTTTGCATCACTCATACAAGCTTACTTTCCAAAAGAAGATTTGAAAATTTTCCAAATTTTCCAAAATTTTGCCTTACATAAACATATCACCAGAATGATTGACAATTAAGAGGACCACTCATTTGGATGGTCCACCCAGAAAAAGAACACCCTCCACTATACCTTTAAGGGTTACTGCTTTGGCAAATAAGTATCATAGCAAAGTTTGAATCCGCAACTGTGTCCAAGCAAACAATCGACCTGTTAATTTGAAATAGAGTTGTGGTTTCTTCATTCTTCATTAATCCGTCCACTTACCGCATTTAATTGGTTTCATTGGCACTGAAACAACCTCCCAACATAATGCTGCCCCTACTGGGCTTGATAATTGATCTAGTGTTATTATGTGACAAAGCTTACCTCGGCTTAAAGTTTAAGGAGTCTATTTAGCTGGGTTTCTATAAAATTTTTAGCATTTAACTATGTCCCAGTGGAATATGGAGTAATTTAGCTCCAGACTTTCGCCAGTGCCCTATTGTCAACATTATAGAAACCTAAGTATATTAAAGAAAGAAGGATTTTGTGTATATATATATATATATATATACACAAAATCCTTCTTTTTGTGTATATATATATATATATATATATTTTGTGTATATATATATATATATATATATCCTTATATATTTTGTGTATATATATATATATATATATATATATATATATACACAAAATCCTTCTTTCTTTAATATATATATATATATATATATATATATATATATACACTCACCGGCCACTTTATTAGGTACCCCATGATAGTAACGGGTTGGACCCCCTTTTGCCTTCAGAACTGCCTCAATTCTTCGCGGCATAGATTCAACAAGGTGCTGGAAGCATTCCTCAGGGAGTTTGGTCCATTTTGACATGATGGCATCACACAGTTGCCGCAGATTTGTCGGCTGCACATCCATGATGCAAATCTCCCGTTCCACCACATCCCAAAGATGCTCTATTGGATTGAGATCTGGTGACTGTGGAGGCCATTTGAGTACAGTGAACTCATTGTCATGTTCAAGAAACCAGTCTGAGATGATTCCAGCTTTATGACATGGCGCATTATCCTGCTGAAAGTAGCCATCAGAAGTTGGGTACATTGTGGTCATAAAGGGATGGACATGGTCAGCAACAATACTCAGGTAGGCTGTGGCGTTGCAACGATGCTCAATTGGTACCAAGGGGCCCAAAGAGTGCCAAGAAAATATTCCCCACACCATGACACCACCACCACCAGCCTAAACCGTTGATACAAGGCAGGATGGATCCATGCTTTCATGTTGTAGACGCCAAATTCTGACTCTACCATCCGAATGTCGCAGCAGAAATCGAGACTCATCAGACCATCAATCTTCTATTGTCCAATTTCGATGAGCTTGTGCAAATTGTAGCCTCAGTTTCCTGTTCTTAGCTGAAAGGAGTGGCACCCGGTGTGGTCTTCTGCTGCTGTAGCCCATCTGCCTCAAAGTTCGACGTACTGTGCGTTCAGAGATGCTCTTCTGCCCACCTCGGTTGTAACGGGTGGTTATTTGAGTCACTGTCGCCCTTCTATCAGCTCGAACCAGTCTGGCCATTCTCCTCTGACCTCTGGCATCAACAAGGCATTTCCGCCCACAGAACTGCCGCTCACTGGATGTTTTTTCTTTTTCGGACCATTCTCTGTAAACCCTAGAGATGGTTGTGCGTGAAAATCCCAGTAGATCAGCAGTTTCTGAAATACTTAGACCAGCCCTTCTGGCACCAACAACCATGCCACGTTCAAAGTCACTCAAATCACCTTTCTTCCCCATACTGATGCTCGGTTTGAACTGCAGGAGATTGTCTTCACCATGTCTACATGCCTAAATGCACTGAGTTGCCGCCATGTGATTGGCTGCTTAGAAATTAAGTGTTAACTAGCAGTTGGACATGTGTACCTAATAAAGTGGCCAGTGAGTGTATATATATATATATATATATATATATATATATATATATATATATATATATATATATATAAAGAAGCTTCTTTGTTGGTTAATGAAAAACCTACGTCCCCATGGATTCCAATGGTCCAACAGTGTCCTGCTCGGTTGAGTCTGAGCTGAGGTTGTTCTTGGGTTATTGCTCAACATCAAAAACAATTTTTACTCATTTAAGTATTAGAGCTAGAGTCAATTGATTGTAGTTTGGACAAAACATAATTTTCTAGCTGACTAAAAAAAGAAAAAAAAAAACACAACTTAGCCGAGGGTCTTTGTTGAATCAATCATTCCACCAATGGTTCTAACGGATCTTTCTGTTACTGGCATTCATACTCAGGACAAGGGTATGACTATGAACAAATCTCATTAGGACTGCTCCGTGAAATATAACAAACACAATAAAGATTAATACTCTGCTGTAGGACATGTCACTTAATGCTTAGAGTAAGCAGGAAACCTCAGAGCAGCCAAGGTCATGCACATGAGGGGAAACTTTCTGTCTAATAGTTGCCTGATCGCTGTGACCTTCTGCACCGTACAGACGACCTCTCAGATGTGGATTCTTATGAAGCAACAGGCTGTCAGAGTAATCTGATAGTCCTTTTGTCTCTACACACAGCTCCTTATCAGCTGTTCTGCCAATGGAAAATCTCTCAGCAAAGAGGGCCGAGGTGCAGGGGGCAAAGTCTGAGAGGAAATTAAAAAGCTAAATGCAGGTCGGACTTGTTTGAGAAATTCATTTATTTTTATATACAATTTTGGCAATTCTTTACTCTTTTCATTAAACTCAATCTTATGATGTTAAAAACTAAAAATATATTTTGAGGGATTATTCTATAAACGTAGTAACTTTAGTTTCCCATTCATTAAAAACAACAGATCTTCAGATTTTTGAGTTGAACTGTAAAATCTGAGCCTTATATCTGGTGACAATGGTTTTGTCTTATAAAGCTCTGTGTGAGTCGTTCTGCTCTTCCTGTCCCTGTATCTCAGTTAGCTCTCTCCTCATTGGCTGATTGGACAATCATTAAATCCAATAAAACATTGATGGTTAACATTCAGGTTAACGTTTGACCAGACCGGATGAAGCTGAGGAGATCGCTCTGACGTGTGACTCACTTGGTTTCTCCTGTAAGGTAAGGCACGTCTGGCTCCTTTGTCCCTACTCTCTGTTTTCTGGGTTTGGTTTAGTTAAGAGGAAATTCTTCAGGGTGTAAATAGGAGCAAATAAAGCTGCTTGTTTCTTCTTTGCTCAGTTTGTTGATATGTTTGTTGTGTGTCGTCGGATTATTTGCATGTTACTGTGATCTTGATTTGACTTTGGCAAGGCCTAGAAAAAGGCGTTGGCATAAAGGGACCTCTACTTTTTTACTCTTGTGATTTTCTTTTCAACTTTTGTAATTACACATAAACAAGGACTACATTAAATATCATATAGGGCTAATTTTACTCTTACTAAAACTTTTTAGTCATTGTGATAAAAGGTTTCACATAAGGAGCTGGAATCTGTGTGCCATGGTGCTATTATCTATTTCCCTTTTAATGTGTTACAACATCGCAGTAACTAATTTCCGCATTTGATTTTTATTAAATTGATTTAAATGTATGATAGGAGGGTTGTAATCATTCAGTTGAGTATACCAAGCAACAGACAGTGCTTTATGTATCTAATTGAATGTTCAAAAGCAGAAATATACTAAAAGGATAAATGTTTTTTGTTTAGGAGTCTCTCCTGATTGTGCTGATGCTAATAAGATACCGTAAATGAAAAGGTCATCAGCCAAGACTCAATGTCACCTTCACTTAATGAGTTCACTTTACTCTACTCTCTCAGCTGCAATTCCCAAGATTATGCTCTTTACAATAACATTCATGGTTGGAACATTTCCGTAAAAAAATGTTGGATTTTTTTTATTTACATTTCTTATAACTTTTATTGAGCTTCCATTTATGTTCCTATTTGAATTACTTTAAACAGTCATCTACAACCTCTGTGAACTTGAGGCCTATATTGAACTTTTATGCTATCAATCTGCCTATTTCTGGATAGGATGAATCCTACATGTATGCGTCTTTATGACACTTGTCAAAACTCATAAAATGTTTACTTTATTATAGCCCTTTAACTGGGATAAAGACAGTAGGATGACAGACTCTGTATACCCCATCAGAGTTAAACCCTTCAGGATCTGATTGACAGCATGAAAAACCAGCTGGAAAGAAGGAAACTGGTGGCTTTCAGTTTCTCCTGTACGTTCAGGTTGCTGATTCACCAGCTCATGAAGGTGGAGTCTCTGGCACTTAAAGCTCCCGTTTAGCTTGTGTGCACATGTGCCGACTCAAGGACACGTTTTCTTTTGGTGTAACCGGTGACTCATTGTGCTGAGGGGAGAAAATAAAATTGGTCACCCTAAATCATTCCAAAAAAGTTAAAAAACAATCCACTGGACTTTGTTTCCGAGTTTGAAGACGTTCCGCTTCTCATCCAGGAAGCTTTTCAATTCAAAATGTCAGGAATAGCGTTGAGTTTGAGGCATTCCTGACATTTTTAAATGAAAAAAGTTCCTAGATGGGAAACAAAACATCTTCAACCTTGGAAACAAAGTCCAGTGGATTGTTATTTAACTTTTTTGGAATGACTATGACCTGGATGACTGAGACTCTTCACCAGCATTTGTCACCTTGAATCATTTTAACTTAAGGATTCTGACTTGCATAAAAGATTTCGGGTGTTAGATAAAAACTACAAGACCCATACTGCATCCCACAAAATGTAATGCTTACACCTAATGGAATCTGTACCTACAAAATTGCTTCTTGTAGTTTTTTTTTTTCTGAATTCCAATCAAAACTTTATTTTTATTACATCTATGGAAAATCTTTGATTAAACTAGTTCTGGCTTTTAAACCAGGATTTTGGAAGTTAGTAGTTCCTCAGTTACTATTATGAAGCCTGATGGAAGGGGCATAGCTTAGGTAAACACCAGCCTGAAAACACCAACTACAAATATATTAAAGTTATTTTTACTTGCTTAAGAGGGTAAATGATTATGTAAGTATGCCTTCTTCAGATATATAAGATATGCACAGTCTGATAAAGCAGTGTGTTTAAATGTTTTCAACTGTCAAACATTCGTTCTCATTTCCTCACTTCTGGCTTTTAAACCATTTTTTCTTCTCTTACTCCTTTCTCGCACCTTGCCTCGGCCTCCCCCTCCTTCACAGGCTGTGGAAATGACACCCATAGTGCATCTGTTGTTGCTCGGGTCCCTACTTTGCATTGTGAGTACACAGCACCACCACCTGCTGATGCTGCCGGCTTTAGATGCATATTCATCTCAGACTCTCAAATCCACAAAGCTGTTAAAGTGTTAACAAACAATTCGCTCTGTATTATTAAAGCAAGCATCTGGAGTTCATCCTCATAATATACTGCAGTCTTTCTTTAGACGAATATTAGACTATTTGAATGGAAACCTTTAAAGGAGACTGTACGCTGGAGTTTGTCTTCAGAGGCTCCGCCTCTCAGGAGGAACTTAGAAAATCAGCCACTGTCATTTCGTTTTGGCTCAATAAATAACTGCCCTCAATGGCTGACTACATTCCTGTTACAGCACAAAGGTGAACTGTGTGTGACTTTTAGTTGTACCTTTAATCTGCTGTATTTGATGATAATTGACCTGTCTTTCCATACTTTGACAGGCTGCAGGGAAAGACCTGGAGGAGAAGAAGGGCCCGTTTGTGGATGTTCAGTTAGACGTGACCGAGGCAACGCCAGTGCCCTATCCAGTATATCAGGTACAATACACATGGAAAGGAGGAGCTGTAATAGTGTAGATATCAAGAAATGTAATTCTTATAAAATTATTGAAACCATAGTCACAGACACTGAAATTGAAAGGATATTTTTTTTTATTTGATCAGATTCATCCACAAACATCTAAATAGATTATTTTAAACCTGGAGGACTTATACATACTGTATGTGGTTAGTTGAGGAACGGGTCAACAAGAGGACTGGTAATGAAGAATGGATCATGAGAAGAAGACACTTTACTAAACAAAAGTGTTTCTTAAAGGAACTATAGTTTGCAAAATGCTGCTGAAGATTCTTAGTCATCCAGGTCATAGTCATTCCAAAAAAGCTAAAAAAAACCATGCACTGAAATTTGTTTCCAATTTCGAAGACGTTTCACTTTCAACCCAAGAAGTTTTTTCAATTTAAAATCTAAGAAGGGTTGAGTTCGAGGCTTTGTAGAGTGGATGAAAACCAAAGACTATAGTTTGCAAATCAACTCAACCATTTGAGGTTTCTCACATCGTCTGACACTCCAGATACAGATTAAACTCATAAAACAAACTTTAGACCACTAAGATATGTTCAATGATTTTAAAAATGAATTAAAATCACATAAGCAGGGTATGCAGAATGAGTGACCTTTTCTCAATCCTGTTAGTACGATCCCTCTAGATGAAGTTTCCTTGTACTCTAACTTGAGCAAGGTCACAAGGTCGCTTAAAAAAAGGTCATCCACCATAGTTAACAATAGACTAATTCTTGTTCCACACCAAACTCTATAGAGTGTTTGTTATCAGAACTCCCATATTAGTCTAGGTAGAGTTTAATGCAAACTACACATTTGCATTGTTGGTAGTAGGATAGAAAATGGCCAAATGACGACTTTGCATGTAGTATGGCTCCAATGATGTTTTGGAGACCTTGGGTTATCACGCTTTGCATACTTTGCATTGGATATTTTTTATTCCACATGTATACCACTAAAGTATTAATTGAAAAATATATTCAATAGCTCCAACCCTACTATCATTAAAACGTATGCATTTCAGAACACATCTGTTTTTGTTTTTTTTGTTGTTGTTTTTTATAGCCGATACATTTTTTTTTTTTTTTTTAAATTTTTGACCACCTCCTAAAACAAATTATACTGTTTAACCTAATATTTATACCCCATGGAAACAGATGGCTGTAAATCACTAATTTAACGCTATGTATAACCTTTGTTTCAAAAAGTTCAATATGAGTAAAACTTCTTCCTTTCTTAATATTTTCAATTCAATTCAGTTTATTTATATAGCGCCAAATTCACAACACATGTCATCTCAAGGCACTTTACAGTTCAAATATCATAATAATTAATGACTGGAACATTTATTGTGGCACTGATTTTGTTAATAGACACATTACCATTAACATGGGATTTTTTTGTCCAATTAAATCTGTGTTTTTGTATAACTGGATGGATCTTTCCAGATCTACTGGATTCAGTTGCTGCTACAATAAAATAAATATCATTATTGTTGTTTAAATTTTTTCTCATGGCTGTATCTGTGTTGAAAATATATTTGAAATGAAGCAACATTTTATTACTAAATCCCCCAAAATCAAAAATAAATAAAATCAAGTTAACTGACCTATTTTGAATGTAGTGACACATATGGTCAGAGTTGAGGTTTTATACAATAAGTTGAATGACACTAAAACAAAAAGCAGTGAAATTGTACTTTAAATCATATGTGAACAAAGAATAATATGCCTTCATTAACTAAGTATTTTTTGATTTATGTGGCATTAAAATCTTTGTTTTCGCTCCCATCTTTCGCTCTATAGTTTCAGGTACCTGAAGGCGCTAATAGTTTCAAGCTGAATGGAGAAGGCACAGACATTTTTAGAATGTCAAAGGATGGCTGGCTTTACCTGGAGAAACCTCTGGACTGGTCTCAAGCAACCCACTATGCATTCAATGTAATATAGACCCTTCCTTTTACACAGATGTTGAAAACCTGATTTGGGGTAGAAATGCAGCACATGTTCAATCGAAGCACTCTGCGTGCGTTTGTATCTGGTTTATAAATCCAGGTGGAGGCAGTGGCAGATGAAGATCTAGTGGATGGGCCAATACTTGTGTCCATAAATGTTTTGGACGTAAACAACAACGCTCCACGTTTCAACCAGAGCATTTACACGGCTACGATTCTGGAAAACAGATCACCAGGTGAGTCTCATGTGGATCTGCTTCACAGAAGACAACAGAACCTAAACTTTCCTTTAGACTAATTTTTTCATAAAATGGGTATATGTGTGTAACAGTTGAGGAGCTGTTATTGATGCCTACTTATGATTCTTAATAGTTTCTTAATAGTTTCCAACATAGATTACACTTTAAATTTCAGTTTCAATTTACCAGGTTAATGGATACACCTAATTAAAAACATTCATATTATATGGGACAAATTCTGCAGATAAACAGAATGTAAACCATTTGCACTCTTTTCCCAATAAAACTCCCCTTATAAACTGGGAAGTTTAGTGAAAGGCCTTCATAATTACAAACTGAATAGAAATACATGGAAATACGTTCTGTCTTGATACACTGAGTTAACACATTTTAAGAGCACAATTTAACAACAGCTTGGAGTCTTTTGGGGTGTGTTGAATTTTAACTCTGGTCTTCCTATCGACCATTCTAAGAAATGATCTATATGTCAATATGAACCTCTGCCTTATCCATCTCCTCACTATGACCAGCTTCCTAATGAAGAATGCATTAACACATCATGATGCTGCCAACACCAGTCTGTGTAAAGATTATCTTTGCACTATTAGTTTTTCACAACATGTAAAGCGATTATATGTTGGCCATGAAGATAAGGTTTGGTCACACATCATTAGAGCACCTTTTTCCATATGTTTGCTGTGTTAAAAAAGACATAGGAAGGTCATATTTATAGATTTAAGGTCTAGTAGTTGTCCGGTCCACAGAGTCTCCCACAAGCTGTTAATCTGTGCAGCTCCTCATGGCTGCTTTTCCTGTTGAGTCCAAGTCTTCAGTTTTAGATCTAATGCTGTGCACCACATTTTCCACCTTCAGACGATGGCTTACACACAGGTGGACTCATTCTACAAGTTAGGGAGCTTATGAAGGCTGTTGATTGCAGAGGATTTTATTTTTGTGCATCAGGTTACAGAGATACACCAATTTATTAAGAACTTTAGTGGTAAGAATGTCAATATTTATTTCTGTGTCCTATTTATGACATTTTGAGCTCAATGTCTCAATGAAATTTCACGATGGTCTCATAAGACTGTGCAATTTTGTGGATCTTTTAACATTTCCCTATACAAGAATATGTGTTTGGTTGCAAAACATTTAAATATACCAGATATGCCATTTATATTCTAGGATTTCAGGTGAAAATTACCCATCTGTGAAGAAGAAATGTGCAATGAAGTGAAAAACATTGATTGGCTATACAGCTGGATGTCTGGGATATATAAAATATTCATTAAGTGTCTGTTTCAAATCATTCAAAAATGAATGTGAAATAAAGATCTATGGGAAATGCTTCCTATAGATTATGAAGCATTTTAAGATGAAAACATCTGGCAATATCTCTCTAGCTACATTTTGCAAAGGCCCTGACCCTTTACTTTTCTCTGTAGTACAAACAAACAATAACTCTGGTTCTGTTTGTCATCTCAGTCTTCCCCTTCATCCGGGTTTTTGCTTCTGACCGTGACGACCCAGAGACTCCGAACGCTCAGCTGCGCTACAGCCTGGTCAGCCAGATCCCCAGCCACAAAAACACATTCTTGTTTCAGATCGACCCAGACACCGGAGACATTTCCACCACACCAGAGGGTAAGACAGAATCATCCTCACTCAGAGGAATGGCCGGGCTAAGCTGCATAACAGGCAGCTTTTCTGTGGGAAAGTCTGTCTCTCTCTGCCTGTAATCCCTCAGAATAGTGCCAGTGTAAATCCAGATTACACAGATAATCTTGTCCGCTAAAATTTTTTTGCTGATTGGAGGCAGATTGCCTAAATCTGTCGCGTGATGCTGACTCTTAGATTGAAATATGCCACAAAGGGAACAGCTTTGCAGCCATGCATTGCAGTAGATTCATTCTGTGTTTCTTTTTGTACAGGAGAAGAGATGCTGAAGGCCAGTGAAGGAATCCAATATGCCAGAGGAGAAGATCAGAGCATTGATTCCCTAAAGGCAAAGTTCAACGACTATTGCACGGTCCAGGACATCCCATATGAGGAAAACCCATTCTTCACCTGTGTGGAGAGACAAGGTTTGTTTCCTGAATCCAGATGTAGCAATCAGTTGACCAGAGAGTCAGTTTTCCCCATAGCTATATCTGAAAAATCTGTTTCAACTATTCATTAAATGCATCCTAACTGGAGGATAGTAACGAGTTACATTTACTTAGTTCCATTTACTTGAGCGATATTCTTTTGAAGTATCCTATTTGAGTAAAAATTCTGGCGACATTATCCACTATAAACTGAGCTGTTCAGTATAGGGCTGAAACAATTAATTAGATTTATTGGATTATTAATATAATCATCAACTTATTTAGAAATCAACTTATCATTAACTGGAGTATAGAGACTCTAAAATATGCTTTTAGCTGACAGAGCAACCCAATAAGAGCAGTATTTATACCAAGATTGTAAAAAGATATGTAAACATTTTGCATTTAAGATGAATAAATAATAAAATGCTTTAGTCTGTCAATATGCTCTATCCAGAACTCCCCGAGTGGAAAAGTTTTAGTTTCACCTGGTTTAATTTTGTAAAAAAACGCTTTGAAGGAACCTTTTGCTATCTGATTATTAATCGATTAAACAAAAAAAAATATTGAGAGATTAATCAATTTGCAAAATAATATATATATATATATATATATATATATCTTTACTAAACATTGAGTTCAATGTTTTTTTTACCCACAGATCAGAGGTGGCACTTTACCCACCTCTGATGATTCATCTAACACCGGGTTCTTTAATGCATTTTGCTTTTGTTTTATTAATATTTATATACAGATTAGCTCCACATGTTTTCGCCCACCTTAAGATTTGCATTATTTCTTTAGATTGGAACTCATTCTCTGCTTCTGTATCATAGAGATTAAGAGGCGTAATTTGGACCCGCTGGAGGACCCCGACTACACCCTATTTATCCGTGTGGAGGACATGGACGGAGCCACAGAGACAGCTCTGAGTGGAACTGCCAGAGTTCACATTGCTGTGCTGCCCAACCTGTGGCGCAACCCCGGGCAAATAACTATTGCGGAGAATTTAAAAGTAGATTATCCCCATGTCATTGCAAAGGTCAGTTATAACAAAACTAGTTCAAACTCATAGCACCTGATTTAAACACAGCTTCTGACCCTCATAACAAGAGAGCTTCTGCTTTGTTTTTGCATCCAGGTCCAGTCTAATGATCCCAATGCCATCTACACATTAGTGCAGAAGGAGCGAGAGCTGCGCTTCCCCTTCCAGATCACAGAAAATGGAGAGATACTGGTGACAGAGGAGCTGGATAGAGAAGACAAAGAGATGGTAGATAAAAGAGCTGCTTTTTGTCGATAAATTCCTACATGAGAACAAACACACATGCATCACGCTGTCTCTTCTTATTACAGTACATCTTAGTTGTGTTTGCAAAAGACAACAGTGACAAAACTGTGGATCCACCCATGGAGATTCCTGTTTTGGTGTTGGATAAGAATGACAACCAGCCAATGTGTTCAGAGGGGGATACTTTACTGGAGGTGCAGGAGAACGAGCCGATAGGTAGGCAGTGAGCTGTATGCAAGCATTTCTATATGTGGGGCACTTGAAACAGCTCCTCTTTATCTCATTATTGCTCCAACTAGGTTTCTGTACAGTAAAAATTGAAACCATAACGAATTATTTCACAAATATTTCAAAATGCAATGAGACAGTTATTCTGTAAGATGAAATTGGAAAAAAAGAACCCAGTGGCGGCTGGTGAAAAATATTTTTGGTGGGGCTGATATAGCCTAGTGTATGTCTCCAACTAATCCGGAATAAGAATTCAAATAAACAATTGGACAATACATACAATTTAACAGTAATGATTTAATTTACTATATAATAACAGTAACAGTGATGATTTGGGTCACTGTGACGGGGTTCTTTGGCCTCCAAGAATCCAGTCTCAGTCGGGTTACCGGTGTTGGTGATTTATTGAGCTCAAAAAATCAAAACAGGGTGCAAAAGAAACTAAACATACAAGATACTCTGGGCCTCAGCCTCCCTCCAGTTACCAGCAATGTAACAAAGAAACAGAAAACAAAAATTGCCGCTTTTCTTCCCACAGCCCTCATTAAATAGTTTAAGCCCCTCACATCAGGCTCTCTTATTTCTGATTTCTTCTCATTAATCAGTTTTGTCCATATATTACCTCCACAAACAATTGATGTACAAAAACAAATAATTTTTACAACTTAATTCTTTTACACAGATTCATTGACTTATTCAATTACACCAAACTGGGTTTGAACCCAGCAAAGACGCAGCCAGACTGAAGATGACAAGTCCCCATAGCATAAACACGTACACACCCACACCCACATACACACACACACACACACATACACACACACCCACACCCCCCCCCCCCACACACACACACACACACACACACACGGCTAACCCCACTGCAATATTAAGTGTGCACCCTCAATACGCCAGCAGGTAACCAGGAACAGCTTGTGTGTTTTAAGTTCATGGAGCTACTGGTCTCAGCGCGAGTGTATTGGTCCTCACAAACACAGTATAACAGGAATGTGTGTGTGGTGCGCAAAGTTAGAGAGGTTGTTTTAAGCGACGAGGTGGATTCTTCACAGTCACAATAACCATGACATGAAATGTTCATATCCTACAACAGGGATATTCTTCTGGCAAACGGGTAGATAAATAAGGATCTCACCGAATTTGGTGGAAGCTGCATCTCGGTCGTTACATTCGCCATCTTCCCTCTAATTGTCTGCACCTGCGCTTGGGTTCAGAAGCCTGTTAAAGCGCAGTATTTTCAGCGCCCCAATACCATAAAGTTCCGAGACGCTGATTGGCCATTAAATTCACCTAGCAATAGTACATGATTGACAGATTCTCTGCAAATGTGGGTCAGTCTGATAAGCGCCCCCAGAACAGAGACGGTAGGAGTCTGTCTGTGGAAATCCACAAATTAATGACAGTAGATAGGGAAATGTAGTTTATATAATTTGTTTTGCTTATAGGTACACAGTCTAGAGAGTAAAACTGACATTTATGAGTTAATTTCTAAAAATATATTTTACGTTTCTCTCTTCTTATCAGGGAGGGCGGTGCCCCAGCGCCCCCTATGGGCCGGCCGCAACTGAAAGAACCAATCAGCTGTTAAAAGGGAATTGTGTAGGGCTATAAACTGAAGTATGGTTAAAAAACCTTAGGTTTACCTGTTAAACATCAAAATTTCGGTTTTATCTCAAGTTTTATGATATTTTATCAATCACATCCCACAACCATAGATTGTACAGATGATACAAAGGTTTTAGTTTCATAAGATCAATCAGAAGTAGTGTAACAAAAACCCTCCCGATCTGACATTAATATCAGAAATCGGTTCAATATCAGCCAAAAATCAAATATCAGAATATATCGACAATATAAGCAAACACTCTGCTTATGTTTCTAGTTGATGTCAGCTGTAAGCTAAGAACGAATTGTTGTCGACTATTATTTTCTAGTTGATTAACATCACTGGATCGAGCCTCTTTTTTTAGCAATCCACACTAAAAAATGAGTAATTAAAGTATATAAATAATTAATTCTGATACCTTCCGCCAATATTCATATCAGTCAATACTGAAAAACAAAACATTGCTAAATGTTAGAAATAGTTGAAGAAAATTAACAATTTCAAATTGTGGGAAAACAGGGATTTTACAAAAACAGAATATGTGATGCTCAGATGAAACCTAACATGAAGTTATGGGCTTTTAATTAAACTCTTGAGGACTCTTGAAAGGTTGATGTCATTTTTGGGACTTTTCTTTTTAATAAATCTAATATATGAATCTGTGTGTTGATCCTTTTTGTGACGGCAAGTTGGGTGGAGGGAAAATCGTTGTATTAGGTTACCTTTACAGAACTGGGATTTGCACCTTAGTTGTAGTGTTAGGAGCTCTTAAATAACTTAGCTAAGAACCATTCCCATTTAGATTTGTCTTCATTATCTCATTATATTTGGTCTATATAAACATAATATAATTATGATTGCTCAAGTAGTTTAATAAACTGTTATGTCATTTTGGAAAAATCTGAAGGTCAAAATTATTTCTAAGTTGTGGGGGCTGTGATGAAATGGCTTTCTTTGCATGGTTTCTGAATTACTGTAAATGTATTTGTATTTCAGGCAGCTTCATTGGACGGGTATCTGCCCATGATGACGATAAAGAAGGAACTTTGAATTCTAAGCTGACTTACACCCTCAGGACAGAAGATCCATCCATCCTTAGCACCTTCTCTATCGACGAAAACTCTGGAGATATCCAGGCCCTGCGCTTACTTCAGAGAAGAGAGGGGAAAGTTTACAACCTGGAAGTCAGTGTCAGTGATGCAGGTAACAAACAATGACTGTAAACAAACATATTTGGTCAGACTTTTGTAGATGTTCACCCCTGGTTGAATTCCTACTCACAGATTTCACCACAAACTGCAAGGTGACCATCAATGTGATCGACGTGAACAACGAGCTGCCTCTTTTTGAAAAGACCCACGTGAGTCCGGGAATCACTGGTTTTGGGTCCTGCTGAGTTGTTTGGATGTTGTTCTCACCATGTGTGTGTCTGTGTAAAGTACGGTAACCACTCTCTAACTGAGGACGCTGAGGTGGGCAAAACGGTGATGACCATCAGAGCCACTGACGCAGACGAGCCAGATTCCGGCAGCTCCTACATCCTTTTCAACATCTCCAAAGGAAACGACGGAGATGTATTTGATGTGCAAACTGATGGCCAAGGAGTCGGTTACGTTGTCATTGCAAAGGTAAAATATCACATAACACAAAACGAAGAAATAACAAATGCATAAAAAAATAAAGCAGAGCAAGAGAGCCCTATTTAGTATATAATGTGAGCCACAAAGCAAAGGTTGCAACCTCCTGATCTAACAGATGAAAACTGTAAGTCTATCTTAATATGACTGAACCTTAAAAGGCATGAGTGAGTTTTCTAATGATACTGCCTGTGGCCAAAACACATAACTGCTGCACTCTTCTGCTCATTCTTGGTGCTTGCACTCGTACTAGATGATATTTTGTCTCAGTAAAAACGTGCATAATGTCTCTTTAAAGATATCTGCAACTTCTAAATAATTTTAAAGTAAATTGGTGTTAGTTGGACAAAGCCAATGGTCCCAGCAGAGTTTAGCAAAGTACATGTTTATGTTTGTATTACTTGGGCAGAGAAGGTTTTCTTTTATTGCATCACTCCAAAACCAGATGTTGGTGTTGCTATGGAGACTAGGGGCATTAAGATGCCCCTTTTATGTGCAGGTCTATACCACTGAGTTTTTTTTTCTTTTCTTTTCTTTTTTTGTACTTTTCTACGGAGCCCTTAAAGGGACATGGAGGAAAAATTAAACTTTAAAATTAAAAATAAACTTTTGAGAGATCCCGCAATACTTTTGCAAGATCTCGCAAAATGTTTTGTGAAATGTCGCAAAAGGTTTTCCCATGTCTTTTTTTTTTTTTTTTTATGAACTTTATTTAAACCAAGTAAGTACAAACAAGTAAGGTAATGACAACATTACAATTCTATGGAAGGCATAGTAGGGGCAGATTTCAAAATGGAAATCACTGATGAGGAAAATAAAGAATGAGTGAGTAATGATAATGAAACAATAAAGGTTTTCCCATGTCAGCGAACCAGAAGTAAAACAGACACACAACAGTGGAGGCGCAAAGTGAACTGCTATGGGAGGATAATACGCCCATGTGTCAGCTACAACCGTGGGGGACGATTTGCAGAGGTTCTTAATTTCTAGAGAAGTTCCAAAAGATGATATTACACGAATGAAGAGCGACAATGTCAGTATGCAATCCTACAGGTCCCCTAAAGGGACATGGAGTAAAAAATAAACTTTTGCAAAATCTCGCAAAACTATTGTGGGATCTCGCAAACGTTATTTTTTTTCCTCCATGTCCCTTTAGGGGCTCCGTACATTTCTTTCTTTCCTGTTCATTAACAATAAATTAATTTAAATATATAGTTAGTTTGTTAGTTTAGGTTGTTTTAAATATTTGAATCACTGCACTGATTGTAGATCTGGACAAGTTCAGATCGGCAGTTCTTCTCTTGCATCGATTAGCTAATTTATGAATTAGGTATATGCTAACATATAGCTGCTTTAACTGCGTGGATGTAACGGTAAACAAAAACGGTACATACTGTATATCAGGTTAAAGTTGTTACTTTGTTCATTTGAGAGTCAAACAACAGAAACTAAAATTGGGAAAAGAACGGTGGACAAATAAAATACATAGAAGTCTGCCGTAATTCTGCACTCCAAGTTCTGTGTGTTTCAGAAAAAGGCGTATTCATTCTGTACATGTACATGAATAAACTGAACTACTCTCTTACGTAGGCTGCTTACTTGCTCTCTGATTTTCAAAGTAGCTGAGATAATAATCCCAACCCAGGAAGCAGGACGTCATATACATCTAATATATATACGACACTGGATAAGTAAAGTTAACATTTAGAATGAAAATATTGTAGTAACATTTATAGGTTATTGTTGAAGGTGTTAATAAATGTGCAAATGGTGAACTTACAGATGCTGGATTTTTCCCTGAAGAGACACACTTATTTAAATTTGGATGTTTCAACTTTTTGATTCAAAATTTTCAGAATTTATTTGAAAATATTTTAAAAATTTTTTTAACCACAAATGAAAAAAAACCCTAATATGCAAATGTTGCTGCTAGAAAACAGAATCAAAAAGAATAATACTAAAATTGTGGGGAATTTCAGAATTAACAGTAGTTAAATAAATGGCAGATGGAAGCCTGCAGATACACATCAGGGTAAAAAAATAAAGTATGAAAACAAAAATAAGCTAAAAATAAGAGCAATTTTACAGCTGTGCTGTAATTAAAAGTAACAATGACAGTGATGTGCAACTGTGTGGGTTAATGTCAGACATTTGCAAAAAAAAATTAAAAATACATAAACAGTTTTTTAAACATAATACATGCACATTTATTATATCTATTAGTGTTATTTTTCATGACTGATTTTGTACGCCATAGATTAAAACCTTCCATTTAAAGGTCCTATAGTGAGAAACTAGAGTATCAATAATTGATTTTCTTATTAAATCATACTGTTTTCTTGCTCCACAGCCCCTGGACTTTGAGTCCCTTCATACCTACAACCTCCAGATTGATGCGCGCAACAAAGAGCCCCTGATGGAGGGTCTGCATTACGGCAGCGACTCCACAGCCACCCTGACCCTGTCCATCACAGATGTGGACGAAGCCCCAGAGTTCAGCCTAGATGTCCTGGACGTGGCAGTTCCTGAAAACTTTACTAAGGGATCAGTTCTGTATGCAGTGAAGGCAAAGGACCCAGAGGGGAAGGAGATCGGGTAAAGAGAGCCCAGCTTGTTCACTCAGATCTGTTTTTGCTATTATGATGTTTCAGCCATGTCAGTGGACAAAGGACCATTTATACTTCAAATGCAAAGTATTGTACAGGTTGCCTTAATCTTGGTGCTTTTCTAGTTCCTTTGCAACCTTAAGTGAGTCTTATGGAATTCTCCCACTAACATGTGTCACTTCCTTTTTTTATCTGAATCAAAGGATTTTTTTTACATGGGGTGGTTGGTATATTTCAATAGGTTTCAAATCAGAATGCGTCTGAGAAAACATGATGTAATAATATATTTCCTTGTCTTATTGTATTAAAGTTTTATATATCTGTTATCAACTGTTACACAGCATATTTACATCATGGCATCTGCTGCAGACTCATAGATGAGATTTGAACTTGAACTTCAAAAAATTGGTCAAAATTCATGAATAAGGACAACTGCAACCATTCTTCTAAAAAGATTTTAACTTTATTGGTAGTTTTAAAAAAGAACAACTAAATGCTCAATGAGTAGATTTTAGTTGATCATCAAGCAAAGGATCTGCATAGACATCTTGATAAATTCAAATAATCAAGTGTGGTTTTTTAATTTCATTTTGTAATGTTGCTGATCCAGGCTTTTTATAAAAAAGCTTCTTATTTGCCTAAACAATGCCAGACTGAAATTGATAGTATTCTTGTAAAGTTAAATCCTGTTTTTCTAGTTTTTAGAAGCGTAAAGAAAGAAAAAAAAAATCTTCATTCAAGTACTTTGGAAATACATTTTTCAGAGAATGGCTTTGCTCGGTGTTTAATAGGCACATAAAAGAAAAACAATTAGTGAACAGGAATTGCAGTTTGAGATAAAGTATGTTAAGCTTTTATTTGACTGATGGATAAAGTGTTTTCTGACTTCATCATGCTCGTTTAACAGCCACTGTTAGTCTGTTACATACCCTGCTTATATCTACCCCTCGATTCGCATGGACAAGGCTGTTTGCTAGTTTATCTGTTGAAACCATTAAGTGTGCAGAAAGAGTTATACTGATTGTTTTTGTGCAGCGTTGTTCCACAGGTCACACGTTTTGTACCCGTTCAGCTGATGGTTGTGTGTTTGCTTGCAGGTTCAAGCTGGATGGCGATGCTCAGGGCTGGCTAGAGATTGACGCTGCCTCCGGAGAGATCAGGACCAAAGAAAAGCTGGACAGAGAGAAAGTGGAGACCTTTGATCTCACTGTCACTGCGTTTGAGAAAGGTAAGGGAAGAATTACCCATAGCATATCACTATTTATCTACACATAAGACACATAACAAATTTGATTTAATAATTTTTACTAAATATAAAAAAAAAAAAAGATTTTGTGTAGAAATTTGTTAACGTACCTGATTATATCCCTTAGTCCATTATCGCAAAATAAGATTCATTATTACCATCATCCTTTAATTACTGAGAACCCACACATAAAAAACAATTTTCCAATTTTAAATAAGGAAGCTTTTTATTACTTTTTAATAAATTAGATCAGAATTCTTAGCTGCCTGTGTAACTCTTTTTATTTAGGTACAAAACAAAGTATTGCTACTTTAATAGTATGATAGAATATCAACTGTTCTTTAAAAATCTGCATTTAATGTAGTCTACTGTAGGTATCAAAACTTTGTTAATCTTAGACTTGAAAGTGTTTAAAAAGACACTAGAAAAAATATCTATAAATTTAAGGAGAACTTGATTTTTTACATACATATTTGAATATATAATCAAACTCTAAAGATTAATTCTGTCCTGTTTTATAGTAAATCTGGAATCAACACAGTTAAGATTATGGCACTCTGATTTGTTTCCATAGATAACCCAGAGAAGTCATCTGAAACCGTTGTCCACGTGCGGCTACTGGATGTCAACGACAATGTTCCCAAACTGACTGAGACCAAGACCTTCCTGTGCATGCAGAACATTAAACCTGTCATCATCACAGCTGAAGATGGGGACAGCGACCCTTTTTCCCGTCCTTTCAATTTCAGCTTCACAAAGAAATCTGCCAACTGGAAGCTGAGGCAAATCGATGGTATGCCTATTAATTCAATTCAATTGAGTTTTTTTTATATAGCGCCAATTCACACCACATGTCATCTCAAGGTTCTTTACACAAACAATTCAACCAGATCATACAGTCAGATTTGTTCAAAGTTTTCTATCTACGGTAAAGCAGCTGATCGCTTTGACTCAGTGACCTAAAAGTAATCCCTCACACCAAGGATGCCTGTAGCAACAGTGGAGAGGGAAACTCCCTTTTAACAGGAAGAAACCTTCAGTGAGTGGCCATCTGCTGAGGCCGACTGGGGTTCAAGGAGATATAAACAGACATACAGAAAGAAGAAGAAATACAAAAGGCAACTGTCAACCAGCTCAACAGGTGGGCCCGTCCAGGAAAGCTCCCATGTCAGAGGATGAAAGAGAGCGCATACAGTTAGTCACAGTCAGAAAAACAGGACTACACTGAAAAACAGTCCAAACATCTCCAACACCCATAAACAAAGGTGTTGATGGCAGCAGCACTGCTGAAATATTCCTCTCAAGGACGGTGAGAGAGCCAAACAGGAGCAGACCAGATGAAGCTACTATAATGAGAAAAAGCAGAGGGATCACAACGTCAGATATTGAACTAATACTGCAGAAGAGAAGAATAGAGATAGAATGAAGCAGAATGATGAAATGGGTCCCTTTGTCCTCCAGCAGTCTAAGCATATAGCAGCATAACTATAGAGATATCTCAGCACAACCTGACCCCCTCTAACTATAAGCTTTATCGAAAAGGAAAGTTTTAAGCCTAGCCTTAAAAGTAGACAGGGTGTCTGTCTCACAGACTAAAACTGGTAGTTGGTTCAACAGGAGAGGAGCCTGATAACTAAAAGATCTGCCTCCCATTCTATTTTTAGAAGTTCTAGGAACCACTAGTAAACCTACAGATTATGAGTGAAGTGCTCTGTTAGGAACATAAGCAACTATCAGATCTCTGATATAAGATGGAGCTTGGCCATTTAAGGCTTTATATGTGAGAGGGAGGATTTTAAATTCTATTCTTGATTTAACAGGAAGCCAATAACGCTAGTTTGTCAACTTCCTGATAGTAAAGAATTGCAATAGTCCAGCCTTGAATTAAAAAATGCATGGACTAGTTTCTCAGCATCACCATTGGACAGGATATTTCTAATTTTTGCAATATTCCCCCGTATGAAATAAGGAAATTCCAGAAACCTCTTTGATATGGGATTAAAATGACAGGTCCTGATCGAAAACAACACCAAGACTTTTTACTTTATCATCTCAGATTAGTTTAATCCCACCCAAATGAAGTGACTGGCTAATCAGCTTCTTTTTCAATGACTCTAGATCAAGAACTATAACTTCTGTTTTGTCTGCATTCAGGAGCAGAAAGTTAAGAGTAATCCAGGTTTTTATGTCTTCAAGACATGCCTGTAATCTATGTAATGGGTTAGCTTCATCTGGATTTATAGACAGATATAGTTGAGTATTATTAGCATAATAAACGCCACAAATTAACGCCATGCTGTGTAATAATTCGACCAATTGGGAGCATGTATATAGTAAAGAGCATTGGTCCTAGCACTGATCCCTGTGGTACTCCACATGTAACCCTGGAGCATGAGGAAGATTTATCATTAACGTGAACAAACTGAATTCTATTGGATAAATAAGATCTAAACCAGCCCAGTGCTGTTCCTTTAAATCCTACAAAATATTAAGTCTTTCTAAAAGAATATTATGATCAAGGGTATCAAATGCAGTATGGAGATCTAACAGGATCACAAAAAGGATCATGCTGTTCTGATATCAGATTTGGGTGTATTTCCTTCCTTATCTGGGTCTTTTTCTTGTGCAGAATCATCGGCTGAACTGCAGTTGGTCAAAAAACCCCTCAGAGAAGGAACGTACTCTCTTAAGATCACCGTTAAAGACAAAGCAGGCATGGGAGTTCCACAGCTCTTTGAGGGTAAGTTATCTAAGGTTCAAACCAACTCTCATTCCATAACATTTTTCTTGTGATGAGCTAATTTTCTGCCCAATCCTCCTAACTTATAATGACAGGAAATGAAGCAGTGCATGCCTACAATTTTAGACGTATAGAATAAAATTATAGATTGGTGTTCTACTGGATGTTATCAGCTAAAGCCTCGTATGGGATATTATTTAAAAAGAATCAGCTGAAATACAGAGTACATAAAAATGTTCTACTTTACAAAGAAATGTTCTTTCCAATAGTTTTTACAGAATAATTTATCTGAAAAATGTATTCTAAAGAACTCCATATAAAAACAGCATTTATAATATTTTTATTACCTTCCAGTCATTCAGTTATTTTCTGTCAGTTACAGAGTTCACATCACAGCTCAAGGTTTTAACATGATTTAAATTAGTTGTTAGCATGGTTAGCATGGCAAACCCTGTGTGTTAAGAAAAAATAGACCCTTTGCATATGTCTAACTTTAAAGTGTCAAAGCCCAGGATATTCCCTGACAGATGCATGGTAAACTAATCTGTATGAAATATTACTGTTCTCCAGTCAGCCTTCCTGTTATCTGCACAGTATTGTAACAGATCTGTAACAGTAGACATTAACACTGAGGATAGTTTTCAAATACCTTCTATGATGGTGAAGCTTTAAGCTTTAACCGTTAACATGCTTTAATAGCAAACCCTGAAGACTTTTGTCTAACCGTGATACACCTAAATGCGCTGCACCATTTTTGGTCAAACATCAATCTGTTCTTCTACATCACTACCTTGAAAGAAAATAATATAATTCCTCTTAAATGATTTGGAAGTTATATCGGAATGTAAATAGTTTTAGTCTTACTTTATTGTTAAAAGTTGTATCATTGCCTCAGTTTTTAAACCTGAAAATATTACTCAGTTACAGGCTTTAGCACGGGAATAGGATTCCTTAGGAAAGCTACTAGAAGATACTGCTTTAAACTTTTTAAATGGGTGCTACAGATGCTACTTGGGTTGAAGTTTAATAATCCTGATAACAAAATTAGCTAAAAGTGTCATTAGTCTTGACTTTAATAAATACTTGTAATAGTTAATTTGCATTATTTCAGGTCTTGCTTTATTTGTTTACTGCACACCCTTCATAGTTTGTATTTTGCACAAAAAACTAGTGTTGCACCGATACCGATACCAGTATCGGACGGGGCCCCGATACTGCCCTAAAATGGTGGTATCGGTATCGGCGAGTACCAACAAATAGGGCACCGATAACATTTTGAGAGACAAAAGTTTATTCAACTATTGTCACCCATTCCTGGTAGGCAATAAAAAGTTCTACTGGATTCACTTTGTATTAGATTTTTTCCTGCTTCACAAAGGTAGGCAGCAGCTCGACAAAGCCATGATGGCAATTATTTTACATTATTATGGTATCGGTATCGGCCGATACTGCACAGCCAGGTATCGGGTATCGGTATCGGAGCCAAAAAATGGCATCGGCGCAACACTACAAAAAACAGATAGTTGGGTAAATAATTAAACATTTTTGACCAGTTGGTATCACCTTAGCAACCAAAAATGGCCAAATTTGGCAAATGGCACATCAAGTCATAACTTTTATCTGCTTTGTAGTAAAAATTTGCAACTGCACATCCATGGGCTACTGCTACGTCGCACCACATGGATTGGACTTTAAACCTCAGATGGGACTCACTGTCGGGATCTTCATAGGCATTCTGGGATTCAGCAGTAAGTCAGACACACTAACAAGCAGATTGACTGTCTGGTTCTAACTGTGGACTTTTTTGGAGATAAGTATTCATCTTAATTACCCGTTGTAGTCAAAGGTAGTATACTTTTTCTGGTGCTGTATTTGCACAGATCATCCTCTCCGCATGTTAATTGACTTTGTAAAACACAATTCCCCACAACATGATGTCACCACTACTGTACTTGACCACTGTGTTGGCTAGAAACCTTCCCCAATTTTTCCTTTTTTAGATGTTTTACCCACAGATATCATGCTAATGTGGTGAATTGACTTATAAGGAGATTAAAAAAAGGAAATTTAACCTTGATTTATGTTAACAACTTGTTATTTTCATGTTCACATTGAGGCTCTTGCTTCAGCTAACTACATATTTATTATTTGTTTCAGTTATCCTCTTCATCATAGCGGTCAAGCGCTCAGCTAAAAAGAACAAGAATCAGGCGGAAGACGGGGAGCAGAAACCCATGATGTAAAGAGAAGCATGTGAAGTTTTATTTATATACTGAAGTGTCACAAATTACCTTGAAGAAGTTTTGGAAGTTGTACCACATGCACACAGCCTGTTTTAGCATTTTTTGCCACAAACCCAAAGCATGCATCTATCTTTATTTTTTTTTTTGGTGAGAATGTTTAGTCGTTATTGTTTATATGTGTTTCTGGTACCTTTTAACAGCAGGAGCTGATGCCTCACAGACAGCTCAAACAATTTTATTCCCAGTGAGCATCTTCACTGCTTAGTAAACAGAGGAAATCACAGACGCAATTGAACAAACTTAAAGAAAATCTTTTTTTTTCACTTTCACATCTTCAGATGCTGTTTTATTTCAGCCTTTTTTTATTCAAACGATTTATGAGTGGAGTTTGATTATTAGGTGCTGTGCATGCTAAATTCACTTGGTAGGCCAGCTGATCGTTCTCACAGCTTGTTGACTTAATGTATTAAAACGACACTGGCTGGTTCATTAGCAGTTTCATGGTTTCCTATGATTTAATGTGTTGGATTTTTTTTTTTTTTCCCACTCACCCAGTGTCTGTAGGTGTTAAGCAACATGTTAATGAACAATTACTGGATCATTTTTTTTTGTAAAGTGCAGCTACTGCTCTTTTTTCCCAATTAAACAGAACTTGGGATTTACTTTGGTTTTCACTTGATTTTTCTGTCACGTGGTGCTGGAGGTGATGAGTGACATAACGCTCAAACATCCACCTTGATTCACACATCTTAACTGTGATTTCTTCTCATAGATTTTACTTTGCTTTTACTGTGGGTCCTGATACATCCTCCCCTTGCAAGTCTGTCACTAAGCATTTGAGGCCACATCGCAGCCTCACAGAGTGATGCTCTGAGTCATCTCTTTGACAGTGGGAGAAGGGTCGCAGATTGTCAGCTGTGCTGAAAGGAAGATGGCGTGATTGTGGGCTTTTATGCAGCACAAAGAGGGCCCCCAAATACACATGTAAGAGAGGGTTAATACGGGGGCCCACATGTGCTCCCACTCCGATCCATGTCTCACGTGTGTGAGTTGGTGGACTGCCTGCTGCAGCTTTCAGAAGCCAAAGGACGGAGCCACGACCCGCTGTTTATGTCTGTGCTCCATCTGGATCTGTATCTCAGCAACACATTTCCACAACAGAGGAGCGTGAGGAAGTTGAAAGATTGAGGAACAGTGGCGTGGAAGTGGACAAAACACAGGGAGAGTAAAACGATGTATCAGATCTAATCCACCCCCACACACATGCAACAAGGTTTTCTAAGCCGTTGAGCCACCAAAAGATATGGGGTTTGTCATAATATAGAAACTCAATGTTGATCATAGCATTGAAAATCGATTTTTCATTTTATAGCTGTTTAGATTAGCAGTTTGTAGCAGCAGATTGTAGGTTCAAGGTCGCCATCACATACATACACAGTAAGGCAGGAAGACAGTTAACAGGTCTATTTTCACTTCATCAAGAAAAAATATCAATGTCAGTTGTTCAGTCTTATACACTGCCTGGAATACATTTATTCACTTTGCAAAAACTCTAAATCTCAAGTAAAATGTTTAAACTTTATCAAACCAATGACTGATTACTGAGGGACACTGCCACTTTAAAACACAAACAATAACAAATTGGGATTAAATTCTTTATGATTCTTTTTTATTATAAAAAAAACTTCTAAAATATATAATTTTAAGTTCAATACATCTTTATTTTGGTGCTTGGTTACGTTTTTGTGAATCAGTTCATGATTTTGATAATTAGGTTGTTTTTCTTTGCAAAAATCTGAAAAAAATAGAAAAAAAAATAAATGTAACAGCTGATGGACCCAAGTAGGAAAAACATATGTTTAAGTACATTCTGGACAAATAAATAGACCACAAGTTTTAGTAATTGTATTTCTGATTCTGTTTTATTTTTTATTCTACTTTAACCATGTCTTCTATACTCACAGGATCTCATGGAAAGTAAAATAAGTTTAAGAATCTCACCCTGATAATCTTGTAATTTTCTTTAGAGCAAAACTAATCCATCACCAGAGATAATTACACCAAATTAATTAGTGCGATATCTTTTAGGACTTCCAACAATTTCAACAAAACTGATGTTACTGAAGGAAGATCTATTGTGTTCTTGTTCAATATTCCCTGTTACCTGGGAAAAAGAATATGACGTGACACACAGGTTCTTTTCAATTTTAGGAGAAATGCAGCAAAGATCTGCATCTTTTGGCTATTTTGAAATATGATCCGTTGCTTATAACATTATTTTATGTGGAGACATTTATACAGAGAAAAGTTGCAATTAGAAAGATTTTATTGACATGAATGGTTTTCCGGTGCTCAGACCCCGGCAGAAGACTTTGAAATGAAGTTCATCTAGATAAATAGCTTAGGAAAATAATGAGAGGAGACTTTCCCCTGGGGGGTCGGAATAGGCTGGAGGACGAGTGGGACTGAGAACAGCCTGAGAGTGATGGGAGAGATAAGGTGGGTGAAAATTCAGCTGGTATGCGGGAGGAAAGCTTTATGAAGTGGATCATAAACAGGGGGCCTTCTGGATGTCGAATGGCTGGAGCTTGTATGTGGAACATCAGCAGGTTTTCCAGATGAGGTCTTCCAGATTGAATTTTCACTTAAGCTTTATGTTTAGCAAGCATGTCAGAAAAAAAAAAAACATCTATATCATTCCAGCCATCTCAAATGTAAACTTGCTCTTCAAATATTTTAATATAGGTAAGTAAAGTTTATTTTGCTATGATTTGAGAAGTTATATAGGACAATTCACCAATGGAATAAGAATATTCATGTTTAAAATGAGAAAAAAACACACTATAGTCTTTTAAGTGCATAATATCTAGTTATCCTATTTTAAGTGCAAAATGACTCATTCCATTGCCAGATTATCTCATTAACTTGTTCAAATTGAGGAAAGAAACAATGGTCTTTAAAAAAAAAGGTCTCATTCTTTTGATTACGGTATTTTTTTGAAGTGTCAATCTACTGAGAGTTTAACTGGAACCATTTGGACTGTTTAGACCCAGAGTCTCTCATGTGTGGCACAGGGGCAATTAGCAGTCCACTGATAATTTCATTAGACCCTTTACAATAATTCAAGAATAGTTTTAGTATAGTTTGCTTATTATATAATATGTTTATAAAACGTCAAGGAGACCCTTTAAAATTAAATATATATAACAAATTTAAAAACCTAAATTAGGCAGAGTAAGGATCCACATAAAGTACCTGATGCCAGCTTTCCATTATTTTGTTTGTTTTAATTTGATTGTAAAAAAGGACCCTAATCATCCAGGAAATTTAACTGAAAATCAGACTTAGAACTAGGGTTGAAAAAATTTATCGGATTAAACTAATTAACTAATCAATTAATTGAGACTGTAAAATGTGCCTTTAGGTGACAGATCAACCAACCACAATCAAGCATTTTGCATTTAAGATAAAAAAGGTTTTTTCATTGTCAATATCCAGAACTCCTCAAGTGGAATGATTTTAGTTTCACATGATTTAATTTCATAAAAAGTCATCTTTAAGTAACCTTTTGCTATCCAATTAATAATTAATTAATCAAATATATATATATCAAACCCTATTTATCAAACCATAACTAAATAAACCAAGAGTGAGTCCCATTCATATAGCGTTCGTTTGGCTCATCAACCAAAAACAAAATACAATTAAGACACTAAACCTTAACATTTTTAGCCATTTGATCCTTTTTTTCATACCTGAAGACTTTTTATTTGTATACAGTGATTTGTTGATATTCCATCTACAGGTATCAACTACTTGAAAAAAAAAATTTAAAATAAAAATAAAATTATTTTTAAATGGTATCAATAGAAAAAAAAATGTTTTGTGCTCCTGAGTATTTTCAACAAGACATTTTTAGGCCCCATGGCGAAATGTTTGGACACATCTGGTTTAGATGACACAAAGACTTAGCCATCCAGCAAACAATAGATAAACATCACTATAAAATGATTTGTTTTAAATAGTTAAAAAAAAGGATTAAGACCTTTGAGTACTTTAAACTAGACGGCACACAAACAGTTGGGACACCCTTGATCTAGAGCAGTGGTCAACCATTTTATGGCTAATGGCTACTAGGAAGGGCTACCAATACTGACCTATGAACAAGAGGGGTCAGCGTTCACCTAAACTTCATCCATAATAAACACATTTTTATTGTTAACTTTTAATTTCTAATTTTCTTTTAAATACTGTCATTTTCAAATTTCTATAAATGCTAAAATGTCCTACATGAGTACTATGATGAAATTATATAAATGATTAAAAAGAAGAGCAACAGAATAAAATAAAGTTTAAAACTTATCCTGCTGGTGAGTTTATTTTCATAAAACATTGAGGGCACCCCATGTGGTCCTTGAGGGCCCCTTGGTGCCCACGGGCACCGAGTTGGTAACAGCTGATCTAGAGTAATGGTCTTAAACTTAAATCCTGGAGGTTCGCTCTCCTACAACATTCAGATGTGCCCCTTTATCCTACATACTTTCATTAAATGGCTGAACTGCCTCACTAGCCTGCAGTCAAAGTATTTCAAACCATTCTGTATATTTATCATTTTATTTTTCCCACATCGCTAAGATTTATTTGAAACTCAATTTTAAAGTTAAAGTGGTTCTAAAATTCAATTCATAATAGAGTAATAAAGCAGTATAAGTTCTGCCAGATTATGATTGAGATAAATGTAATTTTAACTCTGCTGGAATATTTTTGGTCAGGTGAGTCATCTTATTAAGTGGGATGGTTCATTGTTTTTACTACAGAAGCTATATCTTATTTCCACAGAGACGTTTAAGTACGTAAGAAAGAACGTCACTCAGCCATTCTTCTCACAAACTCTTCCTGAAAACGTCGGAGTGCCTGCGTAACCGGGGCCTGTAAAATTACAAAGCGGAGGTGTTTATTTTCAGTAAACCAAACTGAATGTCATCTAAACACAGCAGCGCTGGGTGGTTTTGACAGGATGTCAGTGCAAAGATGATTAACAATCCAAAGAATGGAGAAAACTGGAATGACGTTTCTAAGAGCCACAGTCAACCTTTACCAATCAGTCTTCTTTTAATTTTATTTTTAACCTGGAAGCATTATAAAGGCATTTTAAACTGAAAGATGGTCTAAGGCAGCACCTCCTATAAGTAAAACCAGCTGAAGGTTTCTGAAAGAACTGATATCTAAATAATAATCACAGAGCGTTACGTAACAGAAATATGTAGCAATCACTTGTTTTTGAATTGAGATGATGATAGGAACTGACCTCTGTTTCGTCAGTATAACCTTAAAAAAGGCGTTGCAGAATGTACAAGGGAAGGAGAACAGGGCCAAGCACTCGGCCTTGAGGAGCTCCTTGAAAGGATCTGGTGCAATGCCCTTCACACACACTGCCCCCTGATGTTAAAGATATGTGAAAACCTTTGCCATTATCTAATACAAAAAATGCTGAAAATATCTACCTTTACCGTAATTAGATTTGTTTGGAGAGTTATTTAGTGGCTCGCATCGATTGCAGTTTGAGTAAAATTAATAAGACAGAATCAGACATTCAAGAAACATTCAACTGATAATCTATCCAGTTTTATAAGGTAAAAATCTGAACTGAGTAAGGCCCCATT